TTGACGTCACATGCAAGGGGTCTATTGAGCTGCTTTGACGTCACATACAAGGGGTCTATTGACCTGCCTTGACGTCACATGCAAGGGGTCTATTGGAGCTGCCTTGACGTCACATGCAAGGGGTCTATTGGAGCTGCCTTGACGTCACATGCAAGGGGTCTATTGAGCTGCCTTGACGTCACATGCAAGGGGTCTATATAAAACGTCATCAAGCTTTAATGAAATTAGTTTTGTTTCTTTCCAGACCCCCAGTCATATATATAATAAATGGTCTATAAAACAACTTTATTTAACGCTAATGTGTAGTTCCAGAAATCATCCATACCCACCCCACAGAGGAATTTGGAATTTCCGAAGGGTGGGGTCAGAGAAAGAACAAAAATTACAGAGTTTATATGGAAGAAAATTGGAATTTCTGGGGGAAGGGGGGGTGTCTTCCTCTGTGGAGTGGGGGGTGGGGGGGGATGGATACCTTTTTGGAACTACACAATATATCAAAATTAGCAACTCGAAGCAGTGATAGAAGAAATACGCAATTTTATTCTTAGAATTTTAAAAACAAATGATTGTTACTCTAAATACTATTTAATAGACCGTTTTCTCAAGGTTGCGTGCGCATCCAAATTTAAGGAACTTGATGGGCCATGATACCAGAACAGGAGCTTCATAATGAGAATTATCATACATTCCTATGAAAAAATTTTCGATAAGAATTCATAAAATCGATTATTTTTTGTTCTTTAAATATAAAACTGGCTTCTCAACTTTCACTGAATTTGCGTTTTTCAATTTTGAGGCACGTCAAGTTGGATGCGCACGCAACCTTGTAACTGCACCTTTAATTTATAACTAGTTTTCTGGATTGATTGGCTATGAAAATGAGTATAATACACATTCTATGAAAAGAAAAAAGATTATCGCTCATGAAGTTTGACTTTGTTTGGGCTAATTAATATAAAATCAAAATTTACAATTACTAAACTTTCTATTGCTGCAGCTGTTACGAGACACCTTACTGGTTACCATGGATACCTGTGTCTTGGGGATACTGCTTCTGCTGCTGCTGTCATTTATTGTGGTTTCAAAGAATATTTTTACTACTAAATCTCTTATTTGGTTGATTTTGGCAAGAATTACTGAAAAAGAAGAGAAATAGGGAAGGTCATCTAAGACATATTAATATTGTCCCCTTCACAGTTCCCAGCACCATCTTCAAAGGTAGCTGTGCCTTTGCATTGAAGCAAGACGAACGGTGAGCTTGCAATGACAGAGACATGTGAATAATTGTCCAAGGTGTTAAAAAAGGCAAGCTCACCGTTTGTCTTGCTTTGATGCAAAGGCACGGCTACCTTTCAAGATGGTGCAGAGAACTGTGAAGGGGTCTATTTCTTTTATCCAAGTAACTATCTGTGATTTGGTACCCCAAAGAGATATCAAAACCCAGATTAGGAAGCCTGAAAGGTACACTGAACATCCCCACCTTCTTCCAATCCTTTTCCATCCCACTCTCCCCCCCCTCCCCCCAGGGAGTTCATTAATGAGGTCACAGCTCCGTTTCTCAACTGAGCTACATATGTGAGTTGACTCATGATTTATAGAAAATCTGTAGAATATTTTTGTTTCTCCTTGAAGGAGACCAGACCTTTTTACTTTAATAAGACTGACTGACCACTCTTATTAGCCATGCAAGACCACTCCTCTGTAAAAACTGTTGGGAACCATAGAAGTGTGAGAAGCACTCGCCTACAGCCCATGCTTCTCCTTACACTTCCTTTGTGTTTATGTCACTTCCTACGTACTTTATGGCTGAACAGAGCACGGAAAAGCTGTTTTATTTGTTAAATACATCATCTGAAGTGACAATTAACTACCTTGGCTCCATGCTTCTTGAGCAATTCCTTTATTTCTTTTGTTTCAGAAGCTTCTACATATGTACTGCCATCTGGTGCCTTACCATTAGGAGTTGCTCCCTGAAAGCAATAAACCAACCAGGATTTGTTTTACTAGGATATTATGAAATTCCAGGAATTTTCCAGTATACAAAATTAATATAAAAATTCCATTGTCCTCTACTTTGAAATTTCATATCAGAAATATTAAAAAAAAGACTTTTCCCTTTAGAACAAGTGTATTACCAAGTGTTGGTAGAGAAAACACTCCTATTTTTAATTTTTAAAACTAATAGAAATTGGAGTTTTCCAGAATTTGGTGTCAAAGGAAAATTTTGAAGGAATTTTCAAGGGACCCTGTGCATTCTGACGGTTTCTCATTATTTTGGAGCATGGTTAGAAAATACTCTTACCTATTTTATGAGAGTAGTACTTAATAGCCAGTAGTGGCTAACAGACCTTTGACCCTCATTTCATGATAAAATAGCAGATATCGGGGTTACACTCTATTGCCTTCAGACAATTGTTAGGGTCAGTTTCAATAAAAGGCGGCCACCGGCGGTTCATCGCCGGATTCTTCAACTTAAACTGCAGGCTATTTTGACAAAAAATTAATTCATAACCAAATAAAGTTATATACAAACACCAGTGGCTTCAGCCCCCTACTTTTTAGTACTAACTCCCGGGGGGGAGGGGTACTTCGCCAGAATTTGGGTAGGGGTATTCCGCTGGGATTCTGAAAGGGGTACCCTGTTTATGACAAAAAAAAAAACAAATTTGTAGACCCTGTTCATGACAAAAGATATAATTAATTGCACTGAGTTCCCATTTCAATTATCATGTCATCTCCCGTATCGTTTTTTTACGACCATAATAACCAGTTTCAGTCAATACGAAAGTAGAAACCCTGAATATGACAGGAAACACAGGAAGAACTTGGAACTTGAGTGAAATTGCATACCCTGTTTATGACAAGAAGTTCAAAAAACCATACCCTGTTCAGCGGATCATCACCGTATAGTCCATATATGGGAGTACCCCCCCCCGGGCGGGGACTCACCGCCTACTACAAAAAATATTGAAAGCTTGTGACATTTCATTGTATTGACCCAAATGCCTTGACTTGAAACCATTGTTTGAAGGCAACAGAGTGTAACTCCAATATCTGCTATTGGAATTTGGGAATTAATTTTTGTGGAGGGAGGAAAACTGGAGGACCCGGAGAAAAATCCTTGAAGCACAGGAGAGAGCCAACTAGAAACTTGACTCATTGCAACACTGAGCCATGTGGCACTTGAAATGGGTAGCCGAGTGCTCTCACCACTATGCTACCCATTCCACCATTTTCCATACATCGGTTCACTGGTCAAACATGAAGCGCTCAAGCGAGGTGCCAACGTACTTTCAAAGGATTATTCAAATTTGAACCTTGACTGAATGCTTAGTGTTTGACCAGTGAACCGATGTATGGAAAATGGTGAATATTGTTAAACATTTAAACTTCCTTCTCAAATCATTACTGCCATTTGCATTGCTACGTGGCCACCCCAGACAAAAATCGGGATGTGCCCTATGCAATAGACTGCCATCAATCAAAACACGTTGAAATCATTTACACGCGTGATTCAAAAGGTGCCAAAACTCATTGATTGTTTACAAGTATTATGAGCCACACTCACAGGGCCTATCCGGGCCGATCCAAATGCGTGTAAATGATGTCAACGTGTTTGATTGACGGCAGTCTATTGCAAAGTGCATGTCGCGATTTTTGTCTGGGGTGGCCGCGTAGCAGTGCAAAAAGGCAGTAATAATTCATAAGACCAAAACAAAGAGAATCACTAGCCTGAAGGAGATTTGAAAATGCAATCTTAAAAAATATTTGAGCTACTTAAACTTCTCATTTTTCCAGGAAATATTACAGTGCGATTGGAAAAACCGTGGGCACTGAGAAATATTCCAGGAATGTTCCATTACAAATTCTTTGGCCAATCAGAATTGACTTTCTAACCACAAGATAACGGGAAGATAACAATAATGCTTCTGATTCTTGAAATATTAATTTCTAAGTGACCATGGTTTTTCGAATTGCACTGTAATAGTTTGAGAAGCCATATCAAGCACTTGAAAGAGCGATATATCCTCTAAACAAACACCTTGAAGTTGGTTAAAAAAACTTGCCTCTGCCTGATTTTTCATTTCACTTCTTGGTGTTTAGAAGTTGAATAAAACACCCTTTCATGTGTTTGATGTATTAATTATAAGTTTCTCGTCGCTAACGCCTGTTATCACCACCTTTATTTTCTCTTGACTGCATTTACCTTTTCTAACAGAAATTCAGCACAGTCGTAGTGTCCTTCCCATATCGTTGCCAGAAGTGGTGTTATTCCATTTCTATCTTCAGCCTAAAGGGTAAGAATATTATTTGGTCAATGATAATAAATCATAAAAACTGCACCCAGAAAAATGCTTAAAACAATATCCAACCCTTCTACAGTCCCCTACCCTTCCCCCCCTTCCCATATTAGTCTCTTATATTTTCCAATCTTAGCCCCCCACATTTTCTACAGTTATCGTAGAATGGTAAGTTATTCACCGTAGTGAAAATAGTAACTGACGTTTCGGACGTTAGTCAATTTGACTCTGACGAAGGACTAACGTCCGAAACGTCAGTTACTATTTTCACTACGGTGTATAACTTACCATTCTACGATAACTGTTTTATTAGAAACACCGACGCAGTCCACGCTAGTGTTTACTAGCCATCATCTACATATTTTCCCATACTAGTCTCTTATATTTTTAAAACTTAACCCCCACGTTTTCCCATACTAGTCTCTTATATTTTCCAATCTTAGTCCTCACTTTTTCCCAT